AGCTCCTCCAAAAAATATAGTTTATTTAATAATAACACTGAATCATAACAGTGATTGACAGCTGATAGCAATAATATGATTGTTAATATTATCATATTCATACAGACACACATTGATGAGACAGTTAATTATTGTATTTATTGCAGCAGTCTGCATATTTGGTACCCCTGCTGGTCTAAGAGTTAAACCAACTCATTCAGTTAAAATTCATAAAATTATGTCTGCCACCTTATATATTTATATTTAAGGCTTTACTGATGTGCCACAATAATCTCACCTAATGTTATTGAGTTAATATATCAATATTGTGGCTTTCCAAGTTAACATTGATTGATATGACTGCGATTAAATCAGAATATACTTCTGCCAGGGGATGCTACCCCTCAAATTCTCCTGCCACCCTCTTGCCACCCCATGAATATTTGTCTAGATCCGCCCCTGCATGAGTGGCTGTGGCTCAAGAGGCCCCTGCATTCAACATGTTGATTTGTCCTTTGGCAAGATACCCAGCAGTAGATTACCTAAGCAGGTGTCACATTGTATTGCAGCATCTATCTCTGTAGGAATGTGTGTTAATGTGTGAATGCAGATTTTATTTTTATTTTTAGGTAAAATCACTTTAAAGGGTCTTCTTCTAGACTAGAAAAGCACTATTTAATTGCAGTCCATTTTCCATTTGTCTTGCATACACTAAGCAAACTCTTGTAGTTTCCAAATAAACTCCTGACCTGATATATATCAATATTCCAATTACTCCTACATAGACTAGACTCTGCACTATTTCTATTATAGTATATTTTGTTTTATTTACTTGCACTAGTATCTAACTAACTAAGATTTTCGTTGTCATATCTGCGCTGTAGCTATGCACAAAGGACAATAAAAGTCTTGAATCTTGAATCTTGACCCTTGGATCACCTTCTTCCAAACATAACTCAGACTGGGTAATCTGTGGTGTCTTTTCATCTGTGTTTCTCTTTCTCTCCCTGGTGTCTCTGATATCTCACAGGTTCTTGCTGGAGAGGAGGCCGATATCACCTCCAGCATGCTGAACACCGAGGACGCAGACACCGCCGCAGAGCAACTGGTGTACAGCGTCGAGTTGCTGACCAATGGGATGGTGGCGTTGAAAGAGGCGCCCGAGGAGGAGCTCCTGAATTTCACACAGTCTCACATAAACAAAGGGGAGGTCATCTTCATTCATGAGGGTGAGGACACTGCGATGTATAATAATATTAGACCGCTGTCAGTCTCTATCTCAGAGAGCTTGTATTACAGCAGCATTGTATAATGTGTCATCTTCTTATAAAGTGTCTAATAAGAAATCTGAATTCCTCCAAAAGTTAACAGTAATACAGTGGTTATGACCTATGACACTTGTAAACCCCTACTATACTGTATATGGTGGTATTTTACTCCAGTAAGAGAACGAATACCCACAGTTAAAATCCTTTACTTCTTATATAAGTCTGCATTTAAAACGTTACATAAGTAGAAAGGATCTTTGTATAATCAGCTGCGTAAACGTGGTTGAAATATGAAAAGCAAAAGTGTTCATTTTGGAGTAAACCTTTAAATGTGATTGTGACAATCTATTTTCCAGCTGATCCGAGAGGCTTTTCAAATAGTTTCAACTAAGTATGAGGATTTCCTCCTTAATCCTATAGTTTATCGCAAACATTAAAATTCAACACATAGCTACAACCAAAGCTGTATGACAAATGCAGTGGAGTAAAGAGTTTAAAATTGCCTCTGGGATGTAGAAAAGTGGAAGTATAAAAAAGCATAACATAGACAAACTCAAGTGAAGTGCAAGTTCCTCGAATTTCTAAGGAAGTACAGTAATTAAGTTATTGTGCTTAGTTACATTTCAAGCACAGTCAAGATATCACCGTCATTTGTGTCCCTTTGTTGTGCCAAATAAGTGTGCTTTTCATTAAGGCAATACCCAGTTTTAAAATACCTTCTGCTTAGTAAACAATAAGTGGTATATATATAAATAAGTATAATAATAATATGATATAAGACCAGTCAGTCACTTCCTCTCCTCCGTCCCTGCAGGTGAGGAGTCTGGAGGCTTCAGTTTCACGGTGACAGACGGAGAACACACGTCTCCTCTCTACCAATTTGTCGTCACAGCCAGACCTCTCACCATCACCATGGTAACGCAGGAGGAGCTCATGGTATTTCCAGGTAAGACGCCAAAAATCCTGCAGACTTTGAGTTGTGAAGATGGCAGTGATGATAGGATTACCGGCGCTCGTTCAACCTAGTGTTTGTGGCCACATAATGATAGGTCTTTTTTTAACGATTGTATCTCAGACATACAAAACAAGGTCAGAAATAAAAAAACTGATACGATTGTGACAGTTGGTCGACTTTCCAAACATTAAGAAAAACATACCATCTTCTTTTCTCACTTCTTCAGTTACATACATGAACGAATTATTAAATCAAACATATTTAGGACATTAAAGACGATCATCAAATCTATGAAACAACACAGAAAATACAACGTTTGTCCAAACATATTGATAAAAGAGGACTTTTTGTAGGTTGATTTAGTCTTCCTTTGTCCAGTTGTTTGTATTGCTATCTTATGTTACATGTAAATTAAGTTATATAGATCTTTATTTACTACTTGTATCGTACAAGTTTGAAGAAAAATGATTGCAAAGAACACTTTTTTATTATTTTG